GAGGCCATTGCTATTAGGTTGGAGGCCATTGCTATTAGGTTGGAGGCCATTGCTATTAGAATGGAGCCCATTGCTATTAGGTTGGAGGCCATTGCTATTAGGTTGGGGGCCATTGCTATTGGGTTGGAGGCCATTGCTGTTTGGTTGGAGGCCATTGCTAGTAGGTTGGAGGCCATTGCTATTTGGTTGGAGGCTATTGGGTAGGAGGAAATGGTACTCGGCACACTTGTGTGTCGGTGCCTTTCCCTCTGTTGTCCCTTTTCTAGGTTGGAGGCCATTGCTATTCGGTTGGAGTCACACTGCAGAATCCAAACCCATGAAGCAAAGCAGCAAAACGGTATATAATAATATGCAAATCATCAACCTCCTTGCATGGATTTTGGTCAGCTTCCCTCTTCGCCTGTGGGTTTACCACGTAACGTGTAATCAACCTGGTGGTCAATGCTCTACTACATTTGAACTGGAAGCGAGTCATGAGTTGGCCCCAAGGTCCTTCTCATCATCTGCACAATCCTTTGGATGCAAACGCTTGTACCTGCAAGTGCGTGGCGAGCGCCCGGCTGACTCCGCCACAGTTTTGGACGGCAAGGGTAGAAGTCTTGAGGGAAGTATGTCCGGAGTCCGCATCCGGATTTGTTCGGCGCTTTTTCGGCAGACGAGCTTGAACCACAGCGCGAGAAAAATATCGCCCGAGCGCTTCAGTGTGGCTCAAACATGGTCAAAGCACACTCAGACTCACCAGGCTGAGGTGTTCCATCCAAGTCAGAACAGATGATTCTGACCAATCCCTACACTCTCACTGACTAAGGTGGCAGTGGAAAATGCTCTGTTTGTATCTGCTTGTAAAGGAAAGTCTTCCAAGGCGCCATTGTCCACTTCCATGTGATGTGCTCCTCAGAGTGAACACCACCACCACCACCACAACAACAACAACACTGGTCTCAGACCCACCTCTGTCCAGCACAAAAAAAACTCCGCGAAACCTGTCTGGTCCCCCCACTCGCCTCTGTCGACAAGCTTCCGCCTCGATGATGATGGCGCTCGATGAGCTGAGGTGGCCTCCACAGCCGCTCGAGGAGCCTTTTTTCGAACAAGAAACCAGGAGAAAAAAAACTGTTGGAGAACAAACACACCTCCCTAGACTTCCAAGACCCTCCCAAAATGGTTGAGCTGGTTGGTAGTGGTCAAATCCTTCGTTGCTTCGGCGAAACCGCTTTTTCCAGCGGCATGGTCCCAGTCTGCACCCCGCTCTGAACCCAGACCGGTGTCGAGAGGAAAACTTTGAAAAGAGCTGCTTGCACCGGTCGGTGAAGCACCACGGTCAATCTGAAAACGGAGAGCTTCACCACGTCGTCCACTTCTCCACTTCTCCACTTCGCTCCCTCCCGTATGATGGGAACCCCAGTTCCCTCTTCGCACCTCATCCCGAGTCACAGAGAGAAACGATGCGGTTCACTCTTCCCGTACCAAAAGTAGGCCCACCGCACCGTCGCACACCATACACCGGTCGATTCAGAGCGGAAACCCACTCAGTCTAACGAAGTCTTCACTGGTGCCGGCACCACCGGTCTATAGCCCAGCTCGCCCCATTAGGCCGCCGCACTTTCCGATCGGGCGAAGCCGGCACCGGCGCTGGGGGCTGGGGCAATCTTCCCCTGGGCAGACCGGGAGAGGGTGCGGAGGCTCCCAAGATGTGAACTCAAGTCCCACTGAGAGAAGACGAAGAAGAACTGCAAGAGGCACCCACCACACGTTCTTCTTTTGGTCTTGAAGTTGGGGTGCTTCATGAATTGTCTATCATCTTGGAGTAGTTCGGTGTACCTATCCACCAGTTTTTTTGACCCATCCACCAATCTTTTTCATGTCTCCCCAAAGCTCCAGGCCCCGCCGCCGCGGCATTGCTCGCGGTCTTCCGTGCCAAGGGGCGGTGGCTCCCGGTTTAGTAATGAGGAGCTCACGATGCGAGAGTTCCATGACTTGGTCACCTGTGAACAGCGGTGACCAGTGGACGGGTGCGAGTGTGAAGAGCGAAGACGTGTGCGGAGACTTGGTGTGAAGAGTCCAAAGAAAAGCAATACACCCAGCGCTCCTTCCTTGGGCTGAAACCCCAGCAAGCCTAGGGAGGCTGACCCCCCTAGGAGTTCCATCAGTGGGTGTCTGCTGGTTTTGACGAACCCTGAGAGTTCCAACGTGAGAAAGCCCGAGAGTTCCAACGGTTCCTGTCGCGCCAGATTCACTGGCGGTCCCTGGGAACTCGGCAGATTGACCTAGTCAAGTGATGACAGGTGAAAAATGAGGATGCCAATCACAAGCTTACCCTATTGTACGGATACTAAGCATGAATCTTTGGCTGAAACTGTGGGAAGGGGGCGGGCTTGACGTCATCTTAGGGGAGATGAATCAAAGTTAATCTAGGAAGGAAGGCATCTAGCGACACTTCGAGCAACACCGAGGACCTGTCAGAACACTTTGAACGTCTATTTATTATGTTGCCGTCCCGTCCTTTGTCATCGATCTTGAAGCTAGTTCTCGTCATGTCCGGCTTGCAATTAAACTGGCCATCTGTCTACATGATGGTTTCTGATGTGTTTTCAATTATAACTGCAACTGCTATTCCACCCAAACATGAACGAGGAAGGCATCGGAGCAAACACCCCAGTCTCAACCAACCGCCCCCAACCGCTGACCGGTTTGCGGTCTAACTCTGAGAACTGCCTAAGAGCGAAAACGGCTCCGAACGGCTCCTGTGGTTTCTTTGGTCAAAAGATATATGTAAAGAATAAGTCCGAGTCACAAAGAAAACGCTCTCACCATCTCAAAAAAAAACCGGGCGTCAAGACGCGAAGATCAGGATCGTGGAACATACTGTATATCGCTTCCAGAAGCGCCCAGCGCGGCCTCCCTGCCGGGCGAACGCAGCAGGGGAGGTGGCGAGTGACAGATCTCTCGAGAAAGGTCAAGAACCCGCGGCAGCGGCGAAAGGGCGGCGCGTGCACTGGTTCTTGGCTGCCACACGACGTCGTTTTTCACCAAACCGGAGAGGTCTGACCAAAAGCTTCGGGATATAGCGACCGTTCAGGTGAGAGGTGGTCAGCATCAACAGACCAAAGGAAGGGGTTTGAAAAAATAGAGTAATCATATCGGTTTGGTTTTCGTCTCTCTCGTCTTTGCTTCGTGTCTTTTGCCTCTTCTCCACAGCGTCTTCGCCAAATGAGACTGGCCAGGTCTCTTGCCGCAGCTGTTTCAAAGGCAACCTGTTCTGTTGGCAAAAGCGATTGCAAACTCCAAAGGCTTCAGGAGTGGTCGAAATCCAGGCTGCAACGTGATCATGTGTGTGTGTGATAGAGGATCCTTTGGGTAATATTTCGTGTATATATGTAGGACAGCTCTTTAAAACTTTGCTCACCTGACTTGTTTTCTGCCTTCGGGGACCACATCCAGCTCTCTGGTGAAAGATTACTGGTTCGGTGCCTGTAATTATGGCACTTTGGATAGGAAGTTGGACCTTTTTGCCTCCTCACAGGCTTTCAAATGATGCTCAGCTCCTCCTCAACAATGTTCGACAGCTTTGGCTTGCAATGAGGAGGTTGGTTCCAATGCCTATGCCATGCCAAGTATGCAAGGAGTTCTGAGCATCCTACAGTTCCCTCTGGCCACATGTTCGTCACATGGCACAGAGCTCGTTTTGCGTAGAACGGAATGGAGTTGGCAGGGTAGCTTGGTGAGCCAATTGGAACACCAATTGGAACACCTAGAGTTTTCCCACGCGCCTTTCCAAGTCTTTGGATCCTAAAGCTCTTGAGCGCCGTCAGGCACACGTCATGACAATCATGACCTTGCATGTCCAAGACTCTGTTCACTGCCGTTCACCCACTGCTCGCCGCAAATTGTTCAAGGCCCTCTTCAAGATCGCTGAACAGGGGCTGCGCGTGGACTTGGAACAGACCACACTCACCAGCGCAGACAGAGACATGCGGAAGACGTTTCGGAGTCGATGCGGAACTGGACCCAAAACCTGGGTGAGCTGAGGTGGAGTTGTCCCATGGGACCGAAGGCGCTCCCGGCTGGGATCGGCCCCACCGGCTTCGATGGCGGTGTCCGCGGCGCCCGAGACCGGAGAAAATCGGGGAAGCGATGGCGCAGGTCTAGTTCTTGGGGGGTCAAATCGTCTGTGCTTTTTCTGCCTTTCCCCCAACCCTCAACCTGCCAAAGCCGCTCCAGGGGCGACACTTCGGCTTGCGCAGGTCTAGCTCACGTTGGACCAGCGAAGATGGGCAGATCCGGTCTGCAGAGCCACGGCCACGGCCGAGCTCGGTGCGAAACCCGCACGGCGTCCTCGGAGCTCGCTGCTCGCGGCGAAGCGAAGCGGCAAAAGACCTTCGGTCTAGTGGACCAACTTGCTGGGTTTGGGGGAAAATGTGTAGAAATGTAAAGGTTCTTTGTCTGAGTATTGGTGCTTCTGGTGCCATTCGGGAGATGACTTTGGTCAGGGTATTCGCAAGTATGACTTTGGAGTTCAACAGCACTTGTGCTACGTTTGTCCTAGGATTTCACACATGTTGCGCTTGCTTCACGGAGGCTCTCAAAGCAGCAAAGTATAGTCTGGAGTCTGGCCACGTCACGCGCCCTGGCCCTGTCACGCGCTTGGGTTGCGTAGGATGCTTGTGTTTTCAGCTCATTGAGTGTATCTGCTTTGTCTTTCGAACGTTGCTTGCGATTCAATTGGCAGTTTCATGTTTTTACCGCGTGAGACAGCTCTGCTTTGCGGTATGGAAACACCCCGTGGCCACGGAAAAAGATCTTGAAGGCACTTGATGTGGTGGTCACCTTTTTAGATCACGTTTTTTCCCGTGTGAAAAAGAGAGGGTTCCGATCTCCCCGCCGCTTCGCGCCGGGCACGTCGCGTGGAAGCCGGCCTTCACCTTAACTCGTGCCGACACTCGGCAAGTGGACCGTCGTCTTGAAGGTTGTGAACGAAGCGTCAAAGCCGCCCTCCTCTTCATTCCATCCATCTCCATCCCTCCTTTTCATCCCATCCACCCCTTCGATTGCTATAATTGGTTTGCTTCTATGGTGCTCTCGATTGCATTGGCTTGTTGGTTGGGCCCTCCCTGGGTGGCGACACGTCACACATTGTCGCAGCTGCTTCTGTCTCAGATTTTGTTCGTTCTCCCCACTGCGAGGCGACACATCACACATTGAGGCAACCAAATGCCGCGCATTCTGGATTTCCCCTCTTCCCGCGTCAACAACCAAGTGCCCAAACCTGTGGCATGTAAAATGTAAAACATTCCAGGACAATTAAAAAAAAGAAACGTGCCTGCTGCTCGTGTTCAGTAAGTCTGCTCGATGAATATTGGGAAATCAGTGAACTCAAATGCCCAGTGGAAACCGCTGGTTGGAAGGGCCAAGAGCCTTTTTGGAAGTTCATCTTCAGGGATTGCAAGGGTCCTCGTAACTTACCTCGCTCAGTTCATCTTCTGGCCTATCTTGCTGAAAGTTTGGGCAGCAACTAGATTTGCAGCGCCACCTGTTTTCTCGCCTGGTCTCTCTTTGAAAGCTGCACAAACCAAGTTCCAGTCTTGTCACATGATCCTATACAAACGACACAGGATGTTCAAAGGCTTTCGGGTTGATCTCCAAAGGTTCGAGCAACTGCGCCAAGGACCATCTTGCGACCATGGCCCGCTGCTGCGCGTCTAGGCTGGCTGCTCTGTCCACATGTAGTGAATGGCAAAGTTGACAAGCCGAACCCTGCCAGGGAACGAGACAAATAAAACGACATCACAATGCATCAGGACTTGAAAAAGACATCAAGACTCCTTAAAACCTCTCGAGAAATCAAACCAACCCCCTTGAGAATCCACCCCGGCCCAGGTTGGTCACCCACATGTTCCTCGAGCGAACAGAATGCATGGCCGTCGGCAGATGTGAGGGTGTCCATGGCTGCCGATCGTTGAGCCTGGCCGCTGTGGTCAAAACCAGGGTACCTGGAAGTCTGGAAGGTCAAGCTATATGCTATTGGCGGGGCTCCAGGTTTTGACCCATGCCCAGATTCCCTGGGAGTCTTTGATCTGAGCCTTGGATCGTTTCCCCGATCAGATCCAGGTATACACCCCAGTCATGGATGCCCAGTCGTCATTGATCACCCACGCAATGCCCAAAAGCAGGTCTTCCCGTGCGGCTCAGTCGAGACAACCGCTCCCAGTGCCCCATGCTCTAACAAAGAGCCTTGCTTTTGTGATGGGCAAGACCCTAACCAGGTCATAAACACCTTCTGTCTGTGTGCAGCAGGAAAAATAGGCAAGAAGTCAAATCGTCGGCGGGCCGCAAACACAATAAAAATACCACCAGATGACAGAAAAGCGGTCTTCTTGTCACAAGACTGCTGCCTGAATCTCTTTCAGAGGCTTCTCAACCCAGCCCAAGTCCTGATGATTCTTCCGAGGGGACCAAACACCTCAAAAACCACCAAGCGCCACGCATTCTTGGAGGCGACGCCTGTTCGGAGCGACCGACCGGGTGGTACCAGAAACTGCCTGGCTCCAGAAACTCCAGCATCGGCTGCGTGGGGTCATCCACCTTCGAACAGAACGCTCCAGCAACTTCGATGCCTGGTTGGACACAACACCCCAGGTCCGGAGCCCCGAATCAGGCGGAGAAGAACTGAGAAGAAAAAGCCTTAAAATGTGCAGTTCTACTGAGACGAGTCGTGGCCAAGAGGGGAATGAGTCGATGGACTGGGCTGTTGACCCCTGAGAGTCTAGTCATTGCCCATCATACTCCGGCCTGGTAGTAGTGGATTATGACTTCCAGGTGTGGTAGTTCGTGAGTCCAAGCGGAAGTTCAGGGTCCACGTCCCAACCGTGGCCACTTACCCCATAGCACCCTGTGCGTTTGGGGTTTGACAGTTTGACATGCTTTGAGAATGGCCAAGTTGGTCCCAAAGCAGCTAGTAGGAAGTAGCTACATTTCTAGGTGTCCCACTCTCCACATCCAGACCCCAAGCCCTCACCTGAAAGTGGCTCTTCCGGCGTGGCCCGGTCTCGAATGCCGAATTCTGGACAGCTTTTGGATCGTCGAAATTGGTTCGCGGTCCCTTCATCCACATCGATGAAGGTACGACGACTGCAGAACTTGGCCATGCGATGCTGCGTTCGTCCGGGCGAAGTGACACACCCCGGTCGCAACAACTTGGGCCGCTCGACCTGCGGGAGAAGGACTCCGACTCGCTTCATCGGTTGATAAACGGGTGGTTTTTTCTCCGATGCCGAGGGGAGTGCGTCTCCTTCAGTTTCTGTTCGCGGAAGTGGCGCCAGATGGCGCGGTGTAGTGTAGACCTGTATTTTCTTCAAACCGATCTCTCAGAACTTGTGAAGATGTTCGCCGCCACCTAGACTGCGAAAACACTTCAACTGACTCTGTCCCAAAAACTGTCCGGGATGGCAACCTGGCACCAAAACCAGAACATCCTGAGCATCACCCCCTCCGCTCGGGTGCTCTCTTTTGGAACGTCCCCACTCTGCGTCAACCTCACCTGGCACAGGGAAGACCGACGGATTTGAACCCTGCGATGGATTTGGAGTCCTCCTGCGGACGACTAGAGATCTTTCGGTCAATGTGACCTCGAGTCTGAGTAACGGGAATAGAAAGACATCTCATTCCATCTTGCACTTCTAATTCTAGCAACTGGAGTGAAGGCCATACTGAAGGTACCAAAATGTTCATGGTGGGTGAATCAAAGGTATTTGTGACATTGTATAAGATATGATATACCTGCCAAAAGCAGTATAGGTCTATGAGAAGTCGTCACTCTGGTATAGGCGAAGCATGAATCGCCTGGGAAAGCCCTGAAAGCTATGCACCCAGCTGCTGAGCTGCTGTTGCCCGTCTTCAGTCTGTCAGCTAGCTGCCCGTGTTCGGAGCTCCCGTGTTCGGCGCGCACAACCGCCTAAACCTCGGCCTTCTGGAAATCGCGGACCTCAGCAGAAAGAACTCTCTGGCCCAGAGTTCGGTGCAATGCCTCATGGTTCTCCCACCCAAAGACTGGGGCTGTGGCAAACCTCTCATGGCAAACCCCTCCCACCGTGCCACCGCCCACAGACCGCTCCACCGCCCAGCAGATTCGCGGCCCCTTCGTTTTACTCGATGGTCCGGCCTCACGAGCCTCTTGTGCAGCTGCACAGAAACAGCAGCAGCACCACATGGTGAAGTCCTGACCAACTGCGGCCGAGTCGGCATGGCCGAAGTCGGCATGGGGTTTTCACCCCCGAAGCGGCGTGGCGCTGCCAGGCTCGAGCGAAACACCGTTGAGACAGTATTCCCAAACCCACCCCGTTGGCCCTTGGAGGATGTCTATGTACAGAAACCAAACAATCGGTTGGTACAAAGCTTGGACCCTACCACCCACGGGTGGCAAGAGTGGCCAATAAGGCAATTCTACACGAACGAACAAACCAGATTGCGTCTGCGGTGGCGTCGGTGTGGCCCATTTTGCAGATTTCAACTGTCAGAACCGTTCTGAGCCATGACTCATGACTCCTGACTTGCACTCCAAGAGAAAAAGAAAGAATCTTAGATTTCGAAAATGTTCCAGCATCTTCCAACACGTGTGGATATTGGAATCGGGAGACTTGCCTGGGAGACCTTCCCATGTCTTGAGCTACACGCACACACTAGCTATCAAGGCACTCGCCTCATCTCTGCACCTCCAGAGTGGAGAACATGACGGATGGCACGGTGAATATATACGCGGTGCAAATCGGCGAAAATCGGCGCAGCATGTGTCTTACGGACTATAGTGGATGTGGACAAAACCTCAAGGCCAACATCCCTGGCCAAGGAAGAAGGCCACCAGAGTCTGCCAGAGTTCTCGTTTTGGTTTTTGTGCGGCAAGACATGCCACTTCTATGGCTTGATGAATAAGGAAGTCAGTCACCACCACTTCACGACCAAACACCCCCCCGAGCGCACCTTCACCTTGTCCATCGTGTCGTTTTTGATGGAGAAGAGAGCGCGAAGTTGCTGCCGGTAGTACCTTCAGGTGCCCGCCCAATCTTGAAACGTGCAGCCAAATGGCAACCAAGTCTAACCCAACTCTGTCAATCCCTCAAAAAGGGAAAATCAAACACCAAATGAGAGTTTCTCCAAATGGCTGTGTGCTTCCCTGGTTCCAATCTCACTAGCCAGCTCGTCCTGGCATCCAGCCAGTTCCCACCAAGGTCGGTCCCACCTTCGTTCACCGCGAGACGAAGGGGTGTGTATAGACCAATCGGGAGACGGGAGACCCCTGAAATCTCGCCCCGAACGGAGCGATCGGACGCGACCCGTTCGGAGCTCCTGGGAGACGGGAGTCTTCGCCCCCGGGAGCTACGGGGGCCGACAGGCAATAACTCGTGCGTCTTAAGACACTTCAATTGAACTGGGTGTCATCGGTTGGTATCGTCCACGCAAAAAAAGAAGAAACACGTGCAATGACTAGCGACTCTCTTGTATACGTGAAACCAAACATTCGCGCAGCAGGGGTTTCCACCACAAGAACTGCAAAGAATCTGCGAAACGAGTGACTATGCAAGTAACTAGATCCTGATCTTCCTTCTACGCTCCTTCCGATGTTTGCGTTCGATCTCCCGAAGCAAACATCGCCCGGAGCGGAGCGGAGCTGTGCTGATGTAAGATCTCGATGAACACATGCAAAAAGGTCAACAACAAGAGCAAAGGGTTCCTTCCACAAGTTCATGCTTTGGAATCACCCAGGTATGTGTCCCTTGGACTTCCATTGGACTTCCATTGCTTCTGGCGTGATTGAAAAACACTGCATCTCCACGCAGTGTCTTGAATATTCTGATGGGGTGGTTGGTGTTGACCACCAAGTCCCATTCGTCTTCCGCAGCTGCAGGTCACGTGAAGAAGGCAGTGGAGCAGAGCCAGGCCTTTGATCACGTCACCCTTGAAGCTGAAACTGCCTACATAAGAAGCATTTAGAGTTCTTGCTCCTAGTAGCGATGCCTTTTGCTACTAGTAGTGTCCTTGTTACTAGTAGTAAGGCCAGGAGCTACTAGTAGCGTCCTGGCTCCTACATAAGCAGCATTTGTCATAAGGATTCACCTTCTTTTTCAAGTGGAGTGGTCGACGATGGGCCACCTTGTAATTATTACAAATCTCTTGCCGACATGTAAGATTAAGATTAACTCCCGTGGTAATGAAGCTGATAGGAGACTTGTTGGTCACGGCTTACTACGACTTTGTCAGTCAGAGGGCGAACATGTAACAAGTGTTGCTTCCAAATTTTCCGGAAAGATGTATTCTAGGTAGACGCAAGGTTCACATCTCCCCTTGCAATGGCGACGTTGTCGTCGACTACCCAAAAGAGGGTGTCCATTAGGAAGAAAAAAATCATACGTGAGAGGCCTGCCATGCTTGTCATTCCAATGCCATGAAAGTCGTTCAAGGAAAACTCAGACGTGATCAGTTTGGGTTCAAACAAAAACCACGTTCCGCGCTCGAGTCCAAAAAAAAGAGAGCATCCCCGACGGTACAACCGACGGTCCAACCAACGAGATCCTGGGGCATAGGCTGCCAGACCCATCATCGGTCCATAGTCCTGCGACGCACAGGCGGCCGATCCGGGGGATTCGAAGGTGGACTGAATGACAAACCACCTGCTGTTGATATCTATATGGGTCTCAGCACAAATCCAATCCTTGTCAACCCCTTCTACTCCAATCGATGTCAAACACTGAATCTGTCCAGAATCCTGGATTCGCCCTCCTTTTTCAACCAGATCCTACCAGATCTCACCATCACTGGCCGCATCCCGTTGTTTCTGGCCGTCTCCGACCTGCGCAGCGGCACGGAGGTGGGCCACGAGCATGAAGAGGAGCAAGGCGGTCCAAAAGCCCAGGAGCCCAGCAGCCTTCATGGTGTCTGCCTGAGCGAACGCTTCATGTTTGCTCTCGGGAGCGAGCGCGCGCGCGCTGATGGCGCGCCGGGGTCGTGGAAGTATGAAGGTGGAAGTTCTAGGATTCAGACTACAAGAGAAACTTGGTGACACGATGAACATGCGACAACAAGCTGAAATGAGCAAGCATACATGAAGGCTAAGAAGGGCCTCCAGTAGATCGTCTCATGGTGTGCACCCACTGTTTGTTCTTGGAATCCTGTGTCCACCTGGGTATCTCCGCTCCAAAGCCTCCGCCCCCCGCGATTCCGTCGACATCCGTGCGGTGCGCACCGCGGCGTTTCTCGGGTCCCGTGCCCAGCGGAAGGGCATACAGCAGAAGGAGAGAAGCGAAACATGAAGATCCTGGAGTCGCTGCGGGCTCTGGAGTCGCTGTGGCCCAGTGGAAGAAGCCGTTTTTGTGGGGATTGAACAGCTCAGCCTGGGCGGGAAAATATGAAAGTGTTGAATGGGTGTGGTATATCATTACCAGTAGCAGTGAATGATGATGATGATGATGATGATGCTGCTGCTGCTGCTGCTGGTGGTGGTGGTGGTGGTGGTGTGATGATGGTGATGGTGATTGTGATGGTGATGATGCTTAGCAAAGGCCTTATTCCAAAAAAAAACGATCATATGTGATAATATTTCACTGACTGACTGATAATGGAACACCCTAGTTGAATGGGTGTGGTACAGGATCCATGCCGGCCTTCTCTTGATGGAAGAACTCTTGTTTGGAAGCTTCGCAAGCATCAAAAAGGTGCTCCCGGTAGGTTTGTACCGGCAAGAGGTAGTTTTGGCGTCCAAGGCCCAAGGCCCAGATCGTTGCCATCGTTGCAACAAAACAAAGAAAGGAGAGTGCTTCAAACTGCTAAAACCTCCAAGCTTGAAAAAGACTGGGGCAGATTGGATCCAACTTGAAAAGTCTACCAGAAAATCCCCCAATCAAACGAGACTAGATTGCTCCACTTCCCCACTGCGTTCTTTTAAAGTCCTTCTACAAGCAGCTCCTGTCAAGCCATGACAGCGAAAGCAGACTCCCCACACTGAGCAACTTTGCAGTGCAGTGAGCTAAGTGGACCACAAGTGTCCGGAACTGAGCCAATGAAATTAATTAGCTGGCGGTTTAGATTGACGCTTGAGATGTTTACAGCGATGCGAATCATGCTGGAAATCATCGTAGATCCTGTGACACTGATCGCCAGCATCTTAATTTCATCTGATCGGCTGAAGCTTGGAACGAGCCGATACAGGGTGGCCACCTGATGACGCCAGCACCCTCTATCCTTCAATCCCATTAGGCCCTCACTCTTGGCCTTTCGGTGCCCACCAACCACGCTAGTGGGTGAATCTGTTTCAGAGGGTGCGCGCAGGGTACGACCCCCTCGACACCTAGGTACGACCTGTGCAAAAGAAGGGTCATCATGGGTCATGGGTCTACCAATCAGTGGACTTACCAGCCACCGGAGCCACCGGAGCCACCCTGCCAATCTTGAGCACTTTGACTCACCCAATTGTTGGCTCACTGGGCCGGTCACGAGCCCTCAGTCGGAAAAGAATGGTCTCGGTCCTCGGATTGAAAGCAGTGGTCTTTGGGGAAGGTTGACAGAACCAGATCGATTCGTGACCACGTGACCTGTGATTCTGCGTGTCCAAAACGTGCCGGGAACAGCCCGGTCGGCGTTTCTGTTCTTGCCTTGCACTGCTGCCCAAAAGGTGACCAGGCAGGGTCCTCACTATTCAAGTCCTGATGTCGGGCCACTCATGTGAATTGGGACCAGCAGAAATCGCCTTGCAAGAGTAGGGAATCACTCAGAAGTTGAGGGTGGCGTGTTCTACAAGTCCAAAAGGCCTCATCCTAGGATGCCACGAAGACAGTGCACCTCCGGTTACAAAGCACTTCCAACCGACTCTTACATTCCCTCGCGCCTGCTTGTCGCAGCAAACGAAATCAGCAGCTGCTGGCTCACGCGGCTTTGACGCAGCTTTGGTCGCTGGCTGAGTGAATCCCGCATCCACTTCTGGACTCGCTTGGCCTTCAACTAATGAGAGCTATGAGTCCCTGCAGCAGCATTAGCTTCAGGAAAGGCCGCCATGCCAAGGAAGAGACGGGCACAGGTGCGGCACTGCTACTCACCTGAGAGAGAGAGAGAGTCCAGATGGCAGTGAGGCTAGCAGGATGGAGATTGCATCACGCATCATGTTGGCATTCAAACTCAATATTCCATGACAAGAAGCATATCTAACAAATTGGTACAAATTCCCCATTGTTTATTTCTTTCACGCAAGGATGAGGCAATGCATTTTAGCAAGAACGAGACAGTTTACTTCTAAATGTTTCGTGATTTTTCTACTGAAGATTAACTGCACAACACCTAATTAGGAAAGTGTTACCCCTCCTGGTTTTAAACTGAATGAGCTTTGTCGGTGCTATCTTTGGCTGGGGAAACTAGTGGCAACCCGATCTGGCGACACGAAGTAACGAAGCAACAAAAATAAAAGAAAAAAACGCGACAGCTTCCCGAAGGAGGGGGTGGTGAGCAGAACCACCTTCTTACCCCAAGCTGTGTAGGGCATCCAGACTCCCCTCCCAAATCAATGCAAGCTACTGCCGGATGCGAAGAGGAGGTGGAACCATCGGGCACGGGGTCCATGCTGGTGCTGGAGGCCTCGGCTCTGCGGAACAACCCAACCACCGACGGAAGCCGCGGAAGCCGCCCGCGTTCGGCCCGCGTTCGGCCCCAATGGCCGCTGTGAGTTCTGTGAGGCGGATCCGAGTACGGACCGCTGTTCGCAGCATTGATTGACCAACGGATCCGGCCAAGAAAGGGAAGACACCCAGGTATCACATGGTGTCACCATTTGATCCAACACCGTAAGACGTTGAACGCGACTTGGTCCCGCGCATACAGCGAAACTTCTCCAAAGAAATGCCTCCAAACTCCCAAGCTCTGAAACATTGAAGGAGTTATTATGCACCAAAAGAAAGGAAAACAGCTCTTCCTCCGACAATATGGACAGCTCACCCAAAAAAAGTGATCTCCACTCGTGGTGATAGAATGGACCGGAATGGACCGTGTGACAGTCTCAAGAGTTGGACCGGTGCTGGAGAGCCCCAAAAAGAAGAATGATGCTGGGTGACCTGTCTAGCCAAAAATGGTCAAGGTTCATGAGGAATAACCCCAAGTTTGAGCCTTTTTGTTCATACAGGTCCATGAATGATGCTTCCATAGCCCAACATGGACAGTTTGGACGGACAACTGTACCACAGGATTGCGAATTTGATGCAATCGCGATAAACTGCACATGTTTTTCTCTTTGGACTCAATCGAAGTGATTTCACACCTGTTGTGCTTGTCCTTTGCTAGTCTGCCAGCATCGGCATCACGGTTGGGCAAAATCCGATTTGAAACCGCCTCAGTGATGGCTCACTGTTCTCAGCTCTAAAGCTCTCAGCTCGCCCGACTTCTCGGCCTTCGCCCGCATGCGGTGATTTCGAACTCTCAAAAGCCACCGGCTTCAAACGGTTTCGGTCTCCTCGTCTCGTTCTTCCAAAAAAAGGGAGCTCGTCTTGTCGGAGCCCTCCAACCGGAGCCGGACCAGACGTACACCCCGACACCAATGCAGCTGAAGCACCGTGGAGGAAGTCTCCGTGGAGGAAGCGCCTGTGGTGCTTGCGCCCGTGGAGCACACGGCCAAGGCTTTGAATTTACCTGGCCGTGAGCGCAACGCGGCCGGCGTGTTCAAGGGCAACGCGTTCGGCGGGGTCAAACCTTCTATCATCTCCCTCCGAATTCGTTGTGACGACGAATTCGAGGCCAAACAGAAACTGACCAGGGACATGACCCTGACCCTCTTTCTCGAAAAATTGAAACTGTCCGTGTTGGGAATTCCTGCTCAGTCCTTCTTTCTCCTTCCAAGGTCAATTGTGCCAGGCTACTCCGGGTATAGCCAGCGGTGGAGGGTGACACCGCCTCACTGTTCAAAGTCCCATCCCCCACAACCACTGTGCAGGAGGCTTGGCCCACGCACGCGCTGGCCACGCTCTCGGGCCTCAAGGCCATGCCAGCGGATGCAGCGCATACAGCGTTTTGGAGGGGCACCCCAAAAAGGGTGATGCACTAGAATCCCAACAAGGTACCAAGCACTAGAGAGCCCAAAAACGAACAAGACATGCAACATACCCATCTTGGTCAAAGTGTTTGGCCCAAACAAGGTGGTCATCCTGATGGTTCCGCCCCTGTTCCGCAACAGGATAGAAGTGGAAGAATCGCTGAACGTCCCCCCACAAGGTCTCCTTGGGTGAATCTGCCCCCCCCCACTCTGGTGCGTCTCAGGGTCATGTAGGCCCACTTTCCACCTCGGGCAAGGGCGATGTGTGATGCGTTGACCCCAAATCCCCAGCAGCAGCAGCAGCAGTAGCAGCAGCAGCAGCAGCAGCGAGTTGTCCAAGAAAACGAGCAAATGAATGCAAAGGAGAGTCGTCCGAGCAGAGTTGGACAAACCAAAATACCATAATACTTGCCAAGACGGAAGACGGCCGTGTTCCGGCAGGAACAAACGTGGACCCCGGGCAATTTGGAGCTATCGAAAGGAGCGGATTCATTCAACACATGCTTTTCTGCAGTGAAACTATCAGAATGAGACAGTCAGAAATCATCACGGCACCATCTACAAACCTTGCAAGCGGGTCGACACGTCGACACCATCTACAAACCCCTTTCAGTTTAATCCAACATTTGAGTGAAGAACTAAAGCACCCGAGCACCTTTCAAGGGAGCGGTACTTAGTAGCTGATGGCACTGACATGCCCCAACGCTGTTGCCCGAAACCAAGCACACCCACTGACACCCCCCACACCAGCCCGACCGACCAGGTGGCTGGGATCTTCTGCGAAGGGATCTCCGCTACAAGAGCCGCCCACGAGGCCAACCGAGGCAAAGACCTGGGTGAAAACATGGACCTCAGTCCTTCCGGATCGGGGAGTCAGAGTCAGAGTCAGACTGGTGTATGAACTAAATAGCCTCAACTCCAAAACTAGTTAGGGGTGTGTGTGTGTGTGTGTGTTTCTCTCTCTCTCTCTCTAGAGCTCTCTCTAGCTCTCTAGCTCTCTCTCTCTCTCTCTCTCGCTCTGTGTTGTGATGGATTAATGTGAAACCCCCCCAATATTTGGATTCCTGGTTCCTATTTCCTGAGGTCTCACACCCAGATCTCAACATGACACAAGGCAAAAGTGTGTCTTTTTTCAACCAACAAATGACCCGTGTGTGCCGTGCAGATAGCAGGCTAATTTGCGGTCTTCAGCGTATCAAGGGCAGGAGAAGCTGCAGAAGCTGGGAACAACGGAGTTGGGGTTGTTCCCCCCGGTTTCTCCCCTCCCTGGTTCGCAGTTCTCCTTCGACCGTGGACAGCATTTTCCAGCGTTTTCAACAAATGCCATTGAAGCCCTTGCTTGACCTGTCCAAAAAACAATGTGAAGGTGTGAAGTGTTCAACAGGAACCGATGGAAAATGTGTTGCGAAAAAGATTGGGCCACACCTGAGCAGTTTACTCCGAACGCGACCAAAATCCGTCGAAATATCCCAGCAGCAAAGCATTCAATGGTTCCAGAGGAGCAAGAGATGCTCGCATCAGTGCCTTCGTTGTTGCCGGCAGGGTATTCCCCCTGGCCACACGTGATCTCCCGCCCAGTGGTGTCCAGACTTCCGCACATGTAGCCTCAGCGCGACCCAAACCCGCGAGAGGAGGAGGAGGAGAGGTGGGCGCAGCGCAGCGTAAAGGTAAGAACCCCGCACAAAAATGCTTGGGAAAAGACTCTGCTTCACCTTGAGTTATCGTTGAATTGCATTCGGTTCCACAGGTTTAGATGGGATGAATTCGGAATCGCCCATTTGGAGGCAAAATCCTCTGAGGGATCTCGGAGCAATCGAAATGAAGTCCAACACATCTTCCTGACATGAATCTTAAAAACATAAAGTAAAAAAAACAGAAGAAAGCAGCTTGCAAGTGAATCTTGTTGATACACCCATTCCACTGTCGCTAGCGCTCCGCATGAACGGTCCAAAAAACGTCACACATGGACCTGCTGGTGGATCGGGTCCGGAGCGAACTCCAGCCCACACCCCATGTGTGACTCGCCCAAAACCGAAGGAAAGACCACGGGCGTACTCACCCAGACGCTCAGCGCGTTCGCCGTGGTGTACTCATAGGACCCACTGCTCGCGGTGGTCGCGGTGGTCGTCGCACCGGAGTTCGCGCCGCTCGTGGTGGAGCCAGCTGGGATGGTGGTGCAGCCGGGAGGGCAAGGCTTGTCCGCCTAGGCCAAGGTTCACATACCCTCCAACGAAGGTAGATCTCCAAAGAATCATCTTCCAAACCGGGAGGGCACCAAGGCGAGGTTTCTCTGATGAATGAATGAAGCTATAGATGGATGTCTTGGAACATCTTGAAACTGAATCCCACAGAAGGATTCGGGTTCCGAACATAGAATCCCACAATTGTTTGAAGGTAAGGGTGCCTGCACGCACAGAAATGAAGGTTATTTGCAGCTGGTGCTTCATGTTTTGATTTCCTGTGCTTGGCATCCACATGCACGCTTGCGCATCCAGTCCAATCTGGAAGACCCTCGTTTATCCTCAAACCCTCTACTGTTTTTTGGCCAAGTGCTCCTGCACAAGTTCCTGTTCTGAGACAAAGACGTGGTGTATCCAGTTCGCGGTCTCTGTGTACTTTGCTCAACTCGGGTGTTGCTCCATTCACCTCAACGCCTAACGCCTAACACCTAACGCCTCGTGCTCCGGGTGAAGCCCAAAAGGATCGCTTTCAGCCGACTCCCGACTCGCCCAGGCACCGTGTAGTCCGGCGGGCAGGTCTTCCCTTTGTCGTCCGTGCCGCTGCAGGAGCCCAAGGTGGTACCCCCTGTGCCGCCACCGGTGGTGCCTGTGGACCGCTTGGGAGTTCCGAACACAAAGGACGCCACGAACGTCGCTTAGTAGCGTCCGATCGCTCCGGACTCGTAGTAAGGCCAGGAGCCCCTAAGAGCATCCTTGTTCCGTTCGTAGCGATGCTAGGAGCCCCGATCGTAGCTTCTTGCTCCTAGTAGAATTCGCAGATTCCAACAAAATCGATGGAGGTCATCTTCGTAGTTTGATCCTACCAGTGGCCAAGGGCTTTCGTCCAAAAAATCATCCATGGTCAGTGGGGGCGTCAGTTCTGGCGGTTGATTGCTGCGTCGCGCCGTTTTTCTTGCAAGCAAAACAAATGATCGAAACCCATAGCTTCGTTGGAAGAAGCCAACAGTGCACCGAAGAAGAGAAATCCGGAGTGCCCGTCTGCAGCCTCGTCCAATCCTTTGTGTGGAAATCCTCGACTGGGCACCCCCCCCCGAAAAAAGAACCCTGCGTCCTTGAGGGGTATGAAACCATCCCCCAAACACAGTTGCCTTTGAAACCAGACAGTTCCATTAAACACTTCCCCGACAAAACCCTTGTCGGTGCTTCTAGAAGTTGTTCGTCTCAGCGCATGCTTTCTGAACAGCCCAAAGGCCTGCTGATCGATCTTGCCGATCTTGCGCAGAGGCTTTGGCACTTTGGATCCTTCTCCCCAAAATCCATCCCCAGGAGTCGCCTGTGCCAGTGGTGCCATCCTTGCCAGTGTTTCCAGTGGTATCGAAGCTAATGCCACTGGCCGCCCAGGAGCTGCTCATGGAGCAACAGGGCTTCAAGTCTTCGTAGTCGCTGCGGCTGCTCACATCCTGAGCAAAACAAGCAAACAACAAAAAGGTCATCTAAGTGTGCACCCCCTGGAACTAACATGGTTTCGTGGATTTTACCCCCTGGAAGCCTGGAAATGTGGAGGTTTCCACGGTCTGGAGGCCCACTGTCCATCCACGTCCGCGCGTTCTTGGGAGTGCACCTGTGGCACGCCAAGCTGTGCAACCGTTTGGCTTTAGAGTGTCCGCCCACAAAAAGCCAAACTCTGGAGGGCTCCTATCCTATCCGTCTCGTTCGTCGGACCCTGAAATGGAATTGGTTCGCTCCAGGATCCCCCGTGATGCGGATCTCGTGACGCTGGACGAACTGGGTTCGCCGAAAACCGGGGTGCATGGATGAAAGAGCTCAGCACTACTAACTCCTGCAGAAGATCATGGACTTCCACTAAAATTCATGGTTTGGTCCGTGGGAGAGTAAATTACATACAAAGGAGGTGAGAACCTCGTGGAATGATTCTTGATCTCGTGTCAAAATCGCTGTGGTCCTCCTCGAATCTTCCCTACCGTCACCCTCTTGAATCAGAGACAAAAGACTTGAGGTGTGGAAAGGGAAGAAGAAAACAAACAAAGGACCAAACCAAACCCAACCAACCAACAAACAAACAAACAAACACTTCCTCATCACATTTCTTCAGATAGAAGAAAGTGTTTCTTCCTTCCAGCTCTTACAATATCTATGTGGATCAGCTGCGGTCGATGCAGCAAGTCTGTGGCCAGGTTGGCCAGTGTGGGACGGTCAATCACCCTCTTTATATAAAATCTATGTCTATAACATTAGGAACAAGACGCTACTAGGGGCTCCTGGCCTTACTACTAGGAACAAGGAGGCTACTAGGGGCTCCTGGCCGTACTACTAGGAGCAAGTAGCTACTAGCAACAAGAAGCTATGAACATTAAGCTTTGGAGGGTGCCATAAGTGTGACCGCTTGAGGTGCCAAGATTGTGTGCTGCAGGATGATAAACGGGGAAAGGGTTGTCACTGTGGAACCTTCAAGAAGAACAACTTCTGTCGTAGCGATGTAGTCCACGCGTCGTATTGCTTGAGGGTGTTGTCATAGTTGGGCTGGCCCACGTCCATGCCCCCCTGCGTGTAGGGCTTGGAGGCATCTGCATAGAAGTTGGAGATACTGCTCACCTGTCCCTTGAAGCATTTCTTTGGCCCCAAGTAGTAGGCCGTGTAGTCTCCAGAGACCTCACCACACGGAGCAGGAAGGAGGGGAAGGAGCAGCTTTGCAGCTCAAACAGATGTGGGCAAAGCTGCTCAGGTAGACCCCCACTCCACGCCTCCCAACATCCAAAGCCTCTCACATCATCAACTCACCAAATACATGGCAAGCAACTAGCTGACTAGAGCCACTCCTGGTTTCCACACTGGGATGATAATGATAGCCATAGGAATCGTGCGAATGGCCACCACAGAGATCCAGATCCACATCGATTCCCGGTTGATTGGAGGCAGTATAGCGACCATACACCAGATATCCTCAGCGGAGTGAGTGAGTGAAACAGCAAGTTCATCCAACGTGGGGCCCGGAGGGAGGTTGTGGAGTGAACTCGGAGTCGGTTGTGGAGTGAACCGGGTGGAGCAAGAGAGAAGACACCAGAACTAACCTGGCAGTCTGTGCGATACACATGTCAGTCGCTATCACAGTCAACGACTTGAGAGTGCAATGCGATGTGAACAAGTTGGACAAGAGCTACACAGACTTGGTGAGCAACCATCGAATTTTGTTGCGGGCTATATGTAAATTCCATGTCGAATTGACTATGAATTCTAGCGAAGAGGTGATATCAGCAAGCAAAGAGTCTCACGCATTTGACTGTCTGATATTGGCTCTGTGCTGACCTACAAACCCAGGTGCTTTCTTCTGTAGAGTGCTCAAATAGTCTCACACCATATCGAAACCCAAAAACTCTTCCGCAGTCGTATCTGCACCCGGGTGCCCCTTAACAAAAGCACGATGTTCAGGAAAAAGGAATGAATTCCTGTTGAGATCATCTTCCTGTTGATTCCTTCTGCCTGTATATCCAGGCCCTAGGCGCCATCCAGCGCGTAACCAATCTTCACCGTATGGGGGGTCGTTGTTCGTGTAGCTGTCGGCGGTGTAGACGCAAGCAGAGCCGATGGGGTCACCGTGGTAGTGGTAATCGCCTCCACCTGACTGCGGACATGTGGGAAATTCGGCAAATGGCTATGGCTCAAAGAAAATTGGTACTCATGACTCATGACTTATGACTCAAACCTGCAGGTGTTACTGTATTTCTTGGAGCCGCATGACCTGGTCACAAGGAGAGCTTCCTTCGCGCACTCATGTGAATGCGTGGTTCATCTTTGGAGGATCCGGTCATTAGCTTGCTCATAGCACAGAAACTCATGACCCATGCCATGGCCATGCAAAGGACCGAAGATCCACATACGTAGATGTTTGTCCTTCTTAGATTACTTTGACAGGAAGGACTTGGCGAGCACCTGTCGTCCTCTGCCCCAAAGATGTGAACAATCTATCCTTGAACAGAATGTTGAACCTAATATAGATGGCCTCCCCCTAAAAGCGATAGTCTCCAACCCAATTGCAATGACCTCCAACCAACCTAATAGCGATGGCCTCCTTGGAGAAACGCCTTTAGGTTGCTAGTAGCAAATAGCAGTTCTTGTCACCTGTCCATGATATGAATCTCTCCGAAACATGACACACCCCAACATCAGGCTGCAGAAAGGCCTTCCGGTTCTTTCTGTCACATGCTAATTAGTACCTTTTCAGCTGGTGAGAGGCCAGCTCACTCCAAGCTCAGCCTTAAATGGATTCATATGCGCCAAAGGCACGGCCCACGTGTGCATTGCACTTGTCGGCTTCACAGACATCCCAGACCCAATGGCCACCATTGTCCAAGCCTAGAGCGGCACGGAAGAAACACGAGGAAGAAGATCAGTCTGACGAGAGGGAAATTAGACATACTGTCAAATGACTTGTTAATGACTTGTGAATCTTGTGATCGGATTATGGCGTCGTGGTTGACACCCCGCAAAAGAAACAAAAGAACGGGCCTGCACCCGTCTTCCTCAGCATGTTCATCGGTCTGGCTGTCTGGCCACCACAGAACAGAACGCAGCTTGGGGATGATTGGGAAAGCGTCTGATCCACCTCTGGGCAACCGGCTGTGTGCCTTCCCCAGTGCGGAATGCAGTGAGAGAACCCAACTCCACACGCTGGGCAACCGGCTCGAAACAGAAGAATGACTCAGGTTGAGCGATGGACCAACAGGGCTTGTTATGTTCATTCCCCTTGGTCAGTGGAGAAAAGAAAGAAACACCCTCCGACTCACGTTCCAATGGAAGTGGAGTTCGCCACCTGTTTGGTATTCGGAGAATAGTCATCCAACGGGCCATGCCATCCATGTAACCGTGGGAGTGTAACACATCCGTTGGTTCCCCAACTACGACCCTTTCAGAGCCTTGGCTTTCCAAACGAACTCAGTGACTGCCTCAGTGGTTCATCCGGAAAGGTGTCCGCCAGTTCTGATTCTGTCCCAACGGTTCAGTGATATCAACGTTGGTTGTTGCAGGCTGTCCCTATCTTATTTAAATCGAACCTTGTGGATTCAACGCAAAACCTTTATTCTCTTATGCCCACGTATGTGGATATATAGGTTCATAATTCAAAAAGAAAAAAGGCGATCAACGATTCGATTTCTATCGAGCCGATTTGGCATTTATTGTTTATGATGTTTTCCTGCCGTTATTGATATTTGTGCTTCGAAGTCTGGGGCAAAAATCACCATGCATAGAGGCTTGCTTTGAGACGTTGCCAGTTATCCAAGGAAGTAGGTGATGACAAGTTGCCTTGCATATCACCTATACCGGTTCTCGACAAAAGACTTCCAGGTTCTTTGGGAGGAGGGCATGGTCCTCCGCCACTACGCGGCGCTGACCATGTTTGGGGTCTTCCACACCTTTCTCCAATGAATCAGAAAAAAGTCGACCAGGCAAACAAAGTCTATATGAATCTTCTGTGGATCATTGACTTCTGCTTAAACACTGGCTGCCTCCTGGCAGTGGAGAATCCGCATCGCTCCTGGCTGTGGATTTTGATCGGAGACATGCTTCGCGTCCATGGCACACCGGCCATGCGCGCATTCGTTGCCAACATGGACCATGTCATTTATGACCAACGCATGCATGGAGGCGACCGAGACAAGCGCACGAAGCTCCTCGCCTCCCTGGGCCTTTTCAAGGACCTGGCTTTAGATTGTGACAACCAACACACCCATGCACCATGGACCCCTTACAAGGCGGACAATCGCAATGTTTATCCAACCACTGCAGAAGCGGAGTACCCCACAATGTGTGCTTCACACAGTGCACCACCTGGGCCTACACTCTAAGATCCACCCCGGGCTAAAGGACCTCCTGACCTTTAATCTAGGCTGCCAGACCCTTCGCCACCCACCATTAATCCTTGAATACAAAGAGTTCCTGCACTTGGACCAACCGGTCACCGTCGAGGCATACAAACTCCTTGCGTCTCCCACACCGGGGGCGACATCCGAGACGCCTGAGGTGCCGCTAAAAAAGACCAAAGTCAGAAGCACTTTCAAGTACGGTGTGCTTAGGGACCCAGCGGAATTTTTGGAGGAGGCAAAACGGACCAAACACCCTGTAGACAGTGAAAACTTCTTGCACCAAGTGACAAAAGAAGCCATCCAAGAGGTTGTGTCAGAGGACCCAGTAAAGCTTGCAAAGAAACGCCTCCAGGTAGTTCTTAACCTGAGGAGTCTCTGCAAAGAGCTGGAGGACGAAGAGAAGCAGTTAAAAGAAGAAATGCACCCTGAGGTCAGGAAGAGAATGGCCAACAAAAACATCAAGCTCTTCCAACACCTGCTTCAGAAACTGCAGTACCCCGACCAGGGAGTAGTAAGCCTAATGACCCAAGGTGTACCCCTACTGGCACCCCAAAAGGCCCGGACCCTTAGTCGTGCCTGCTTCAATGACCCAGCAAGAATTGGAAGAGTCCGCAATCTGGAGGAGGGAGAGCATCATGGGATCTCGTCAGAAGCCAAGTTCCGAAGAAGAAGCAGACTTGATTGAATCGACGGCATCCAAGGTAGATCAGGGCTTCTTAGTTGGTCCATTCACCAAGGCACAGATGGATGAAAATTATAGTCACCAGAAGTGGCTCACCACTCCGCGGTTCGTATTGTATCAAGGCCCCAGCAGGAAGGTTAGGGTAATAGATGATGCCAAAGCTAGTGCCTTGAACCCTGCGTATTCGTCCACCTTTAAATTGCAGCTTCAAGATAACGAATACATTGCAGCAATGATTAGAACCACCTTGAATGAGCAAAGCCGCACTGGGCACTTGGCCGCCTGGCCAGGGCGCACTTTAGATCTAAGTAAAGCCTATAAGCAACTGGCCATCCTGCCCCAACACTCCCATTTGGCAGTGGTGGCCTTTCCGGTAGGTGGGAAATGGCGCTTCTATAAATCAGTTGCCTTGCCTTTTGGAGCTACGGGGTCGGTCTATGGTTCTGTAAGAGTAGCCCAAGCTCTCTGGTTCGTAGTGGCCAAATTGCTTAAAGCTATAACTTGCAACTACTTCGACGACTTCATCATGATCAAGAAAACCGAGGGTGCAAAAGTGTTGTCGTCCGCTTTCGGAGCCGTGCTTGACATCCTAGGTTGGGTCTACGCAAAGGAAGGTGACAAAGCCCTGGGGGTTACATACTCTCTTCAAGACACTCGCTTAGGCAGTTTCGAGGTTGCAAACAAAGCCGGCAGGTTGGAAAAAATTTGCGACATTCTCCAAGGCATCTCGGAAGCTGGCCGCATAACGTCGGCTCAGGCAGCTGAAGTACAAGGCCTGTTGAACTTCACTTGTGGGTTCCTTGCAACGAAAGGAGTGCGTCAGTTGATATCGGCTTTCGCTCCCTTGCTGAACATCACCCTAATCAGGATGCCACCAAACTGAAGGCCTTCTGTGCTTATTCAATCGCGCTCTTGAAACGACTCAGACCCCGCAAGCATGGAGTGAATGACCCAACAGACCCTATCCTCGTTTTCACAGACGGGGCTCTAGAAGGTCAGATCGCAACTGCGGAGCAGTGATATTTGACACCAGGTCAGGTACTGGTGAGTGCTTTGAGATAGAAGTCCCAAAGGAACTGTTGCAGGAGTGGCTAGCCTCTTCAGAGCAATGCATCAGCCAAATCGAGCTTTGGGCTTTCGTAGCAATACTTTGGCGCTATCGCACCGATTTTGCAAATCGTAGAGCTCTGGCATGGATAGGCAATGAAGCAGCAAGAATGTGCTGAATAAAAGCTTCATCCCATTCTCCAACCATGGCTGCGATGTGTCAGTTGGCATGTGAGATAGAGTGTTCACACCCGTCCATGTTTTGGTACGAACGAATGCCTTCGTTTTCCCATCCATCGCGAAACCAAGTCAGAAACGCTGCAAAGCTTCTCGGCCTCGAGCAAAGCAGCCGTCTGATATGTGCACCGAACCTGGTGGCTGCCACAGTCAAGGCGGGAAGAGAGCCTCACTCGGTTTCTCACTTTGCAGGGGCATAAATCCGAGAAACGGTAAAGGTGATATGCAAAACAACTTGTCATCACCTTCTTCCTTGGATAACTGGCAACGTCACAAAGCAAGCCTCTATGCATGGTGATTTTTGCCCCAGACTTCGAAGCACAAATATCAATAACGGCGGGAAAAAATAATCATAAACAATAAATGCCGAATTGCAAATCGGCTCGATAGAAATCGAATCGTTGATCGCCTTTCTTCTTTTTGAATTATGAACCTTGGCAACTTGTCATCACCTACTTCCTTGGATATGCCTTGCATATCACCTATACCGTTTCTCGGATTTATGCCCCCGATGTACCAAGAGGGATGGGTTGGGTGGGCCGAAACTGCTAGAAAAGGGTTTTTCACCCTCCCACCCACCGCTTGATAGTTACAGTAAAAATGTTGCGATGGACAGATGTTTCATCCTCACCGTTTGGTGTACACTTCTCGTTTAGCACACAGCAACTGTCGTTTCAAACAAAGCGAGCACTCCTGATTTGTACAGTATTCTGAAGTGGCAAAGATATTTATACTTTTTACATTCACGAAAACGTGTCGTGAGAAGGGTTGAGGATAGTTCAAAGAAGACGCATCCAATGAGTGTGCACGTTCTGATTCGATGCTGTCATTTCTTTTGCGCTGCGTAGTGACGCGATAGGGGAGGAAGGAACCACAAGGCGAACTAGTTACTAGCTGGAGTAACAAGTCCTATCCGATTTTTAAAAGATGGTGCCCTCACTTCGTGACAGCTCTCTTCTCAAGCCTTTCTATGGCGCCGATATGGCCATATATGATCTCATGGCCTTCACTCCAAAACCGATGCCTTCCACATGCACTGCATCCACAGTCCCCAAAAATATACACATCCATCCATCATCCATCCATCCATCCCCCTGAAAAACCTCCTAACAGGTGCGAGCCTGGATAAAAGGGAACGCCATTCTTGCCCACACCAGAGGCGCCCGCCGGGGGATTGGGCGTCCATTCATAGGCTTCGTCCGGCGGCGAGGTCAAGGGAATCCTGGAAGAGGCGAGGCGAAGTTCGCGCCCGATCAGCCTTCCATCATATGGCTCGGTAGGTGTTCATGTGTTTCGAACATGATCTCTATCATGGAAAAAGATGTTGATTCCCAATTGATGTTGATATCCGAAGCTTCTTGGATGTGAACCGAAAAAGAGCGCATGTGCTCCATCAGGCTGACCATGTGCCCGACAAGGAGTCTACTCATTCTCGAGCACCGGGCTGCCCGGACCGCCGAGATCTGGGACAAACACCAAAAACACCGCAGGCAAGGTGTTTAGAGTTGGAAGACGTGTGACTTTAAATACCCCAAAATGTTTGGAAAAATCTACAGAATATTTCGAAGCCCGGCGATTGGGAGCTTCCTATCTGCTTGACAGAAGAATACAGCTGTATTTGCACCATGTGTTACACCTTATATAAGACCTCTGCAATAAGACCTCTGCAAAGGTTTGGGAGATTCCAAACAAGCGAAGGTTCCAAGTCCTTCAACTCGAGGTTTTCATAGCAGCAGAGTCGACGTGTGTAGCACCCAACATACTGTACTCCGAGTGGAGAATGGAGACCCACTATTCTCCACTGAATCCACTTACAGAATAAAAGTCCTTAAGAAGATAAAACTGCATAAAACCCTTTTATTTCAGGCCGGGGGGGGTAAGCTGCTAGTAGAGGTGAGAGGTAGGCTAGCTAGAGAGTCGGTAGCTAGTAGAAGCAAAAGGGAGTCGCTAGTAGCTTAAGTAGCTACTACGTAGCATGCAGGATAGCTCATCCTTCTTCAAGGAAGCCCTCGCACTATTCATTTCGTTCCTAGTCTTTTTAGGCAAACTTAAGAAACAAAGAAACCCTTTCCCTGTAAGACGCCCTGTCCACTTCCCAACCACCTTTACCACTTCACCTTCACCTCCAAGAATCTTATAGGTCTGCGACTGCTCGATGGTCGACCGCGTCACGCACTCGTTCTCGTAGCCACCGCCGCCTCCACCACCAGGGGGTCGAGGGATGCTCGCCAGCGTGTCATCGGTGGGGGGCTTGCCAGCAGACCAAACCACCAGATAGTTGTCGTTGCCTCAAATCACACTGAGCTCTCACTTGACCAATCCTAAAAGCTCAGAACATGGTTGCTTTGAGTTCTGCACCACAGCAGCTGAACCACAGCAGCTGAGAACCGTGATGCAAGGTGTTTGGCATCAAGAATCTTTGTTTGTGGGCGTGCTTGGCAGAACTTGTGAGAGCTTTGTGCCTGCATTGTTGACAGGCTGCCTGCAGAGGCGTTTGTGACCATTGTCAAGATCTGACTTTGGCACACCAAGACGACGCTTCAACTGTGCTGCCCAGGTGCAGTACATAGCTTTCACAGCAGATGTGGCATCCGTGTTGAATACCTCTTGCATGCCAGACACGGAGCACCTCCCGTGGAGGGAATCCAGAAGCATCTGCAACAAATCTACCAGGTCAGATGGTTCAGGCCGGCTCGAGGGGGAGGAAGGACCACTGCTCAACATGTTTCTGAACAATCTCAACAACAAGCAAAAAGTGGGATCTGCCACAGCCTGCAGTCCGGCTCTTCCCAAACTCCCTCCCTCCCAAAGCAAGCCACCCCGCGCAACCCCTCCCCGCGGGGGTTCTGGGCCCGTCACGCCTGGCATCTGAGCTTTGAGTGCAGCTTTTGCAGGAAACGCTGCCAATAAGCTCTGGCCAATCGATGTTCGGATCAGTAAAGCTGCACGGTGAGTTCGAGACCTGTCGAGCCCCAGAATTCCTAAAAGTCCCCCGCGATGTTCACGGATGGAGACTGAGTGTTGGTGATGGAGCTTTCCAGTTTAAGTAGCTTGCTTCTTCCCACTTCTTGAAGTGTCTTAAGCTGGAACTGCGTGGAAGAAAACTCAAGTCTTTGATGCCTTGAATTGCGACATGAACCTCCGTGAAAGGCATCTTCAAAGTCTACCGCTTTCAAGCTCCTCTGAAAGAATCTATCGCGCAAGCGCGGTTTGCCTGCCGCTGTCTTGTCTCCCTATGCAGGACCATCCAAACAAGTCAAAAATGCTGAAGAATCCACTGCCAGCGACTGATTGGCATTGTGAAGGAGAACAATTGCTCAGCGCTTCACCTCAAGATGTCCACGTCGCGGAGCTCCAGTGACCAAACTCACGGGGGTGAAACAGGAACGAGAACTCCAAATCGATATGTGGAATCGTAGAACGTCCCCTTGATGGTGGCAAACCAGTGTCCACGGAAATACAATAGATTGGAGTATAATCCAGTTCAAACATATCAGTGATGTGATTTTTTGAATGTTCAGGTCTGCTTACACACCTACTTCAGAGGTGCCAAACGGAACCCTCTCCAAAAAGGAGTCCGTGTTGCTCATCATCTGCCCGGGCCGAGCTCGAGTTACTCTCTTCACTTCGGCCGGTCACATGGTACCAGTGGAGATAACTCGTCAGACTCAGTCGGAGACCACTCCCCAAATAGATAGCACGGTGAGCTCCCAACACATGTTCTACCCGCGGATCTACTAATGATATTTATATATATATATTAGTAGAGATCTACAGTTTCCAATACAGTTTTGTATGATATATTCTATCTATTTGAGGATCTTATGTACTCCTTCTTGCATGGCTGGAGCTCCATGCCTTCGTGTCCTTTCGTCCAACACCCCCGCGAGTCCTTCGCCAGTCCAACGAGTCCAACGAGTCCGAAGGTGACGTGGAAGAGAAATAGAAGTGAAGGAAAGGTCTCGAAGTGCAAAGAAAGAAACCAAAAAATAACAGGAAAAAACACACATAACTAACTGATGTAAAAATCCGAAACCAACTCATTGACCCACAAATACTCTTCAAGCAGGGCACACGTTTCGGTGCTCGGCACGATCGCCGCGCGAGCAGCGAATGCGCCAAGCAGGAACCACCGCCCCATGGCGCGAAGATGGGCCATGCTGAACCTAATAGCTAGGGCCTCCAACCTCCCTAGTGAAGTACGGGCTCTTCAGGTACGCACTGAGACCTTTCCAAGACCTGAAGGTGATCGGTCCCAATGCTTCCTTCCTTGGAAATGGTGGCTCCCAAGACCTTTCCAAAAAAGATCAGTTCCCATGTAACAAGTGTTTGATTCTTGATCCTTCTTCGCTGTGCGCCATTTTCGTGTTCCAAGCCTCGCCTGATCGCCACACCAGCAGAGATTGGGTCAGGCAAGTGCTCGTTTGTCGTTTCTAGCGGCTTGGACGTGTGATGTTCAAACGGAATTGATACAACACCCTTGGCCATTATAACCAAGAAAGACTGTGTGCGCCCAAGGATGCCGATCAAAATGCTTCGTTTTCTGGGAACCTTGCATTCCTCGTTGCTTGGAAAGCCCTGGAAAACCGCAGACAGTGCACAGGACGATTCAATAGCCCAGCAATTCACACCCCCTGGAGGTTCAATGATTGTGGCACTGTTGATCTTTGTGCATTAGTGGGAGGACACGTTTGCCTTTTGCCATCTTCATTTGTACAAACCATGGCCAGTTCGGCATCCGTGGCGAACACTGAGGCCGTCTCGACGTTCTCGGCTCGGTCCTCATGGCAGCTAAAGGCACCATGGGAGAAGCTGTCGGCCTCTTTGGCCTGAAAAGGATGCCCAGAAGAACTCCAGTGTGTCCAGAGATCACAGGTCTTCCTGGACTTGTTTTTCCTAGTCTAAATAGTTCACGTTATAGTCTTCATATATCTTCTTATGAAAGTTTATGGATGTTTATGGTATTTGTGAAGTTCATCTTCATCCGACCTGTTTTCCTTTTGTCCATTTCTGTGATTGATGGAGTAGGGGACTGAAACACCAATAGCTTTCTGTAAGCACGCGGACACCAAGTTCTACGTCTCCACATGTCCGAACTGCGCAGACGCCACGCCGGACGCCACCAACCTAACACGCCCCCTCCCGCTTTCAAGTTCAACTCGCGGCTCGTTTTGGCACCTTGATGTCACCCAGAACCGGATCGGCCCAAAGCTTGGTGTAGAGGAAGCCCAAAAGGCAGACCTTTCTCGCTCGACGAAACCGGAGGCGACCGGACCGGAGAACGCGCCGAAAGGAATCCAGGTGTGGACGTTTCAGGAGAGAAATCCCAAGAAAGCGCGGCTTGGGAACGCGGCAGTCGCTTTCTGGGACATCACTGGAAAACTCTTCGTCGAACAGAGTAGAAGAAACGCAAAGACAGAAGACCAACAAAGGATCGGAGAGAGGGGAAATGCACGGTGTCTACACGTCTTCACTCTGCAAAGAGATGGTGACGAACGTGCCATACTTCGCATGTCCAATGTGGGCGCCTCGAGATTTGATGCGAGATGTTGGATTTCGTCAGCTAAAGTGAGGAACTTGGGCAAGTGGTCTAGAATGGTCTAGAAACCAAAGCAAATCATCACACGTAGACCGTCCAGACCTCAGAGCCTCATGTCCCCACCCAGCCGTGGCGTTGCCCACGGCCATCGTCCCTTGGTCCCTCGGTCCCCCAGACTAAAGCGATGTACCCGAGGATGACCAGGACCAGCATTCCCACATTCGCCCAGGCCTTCTGCTGGGCCTGCCAATGGAAGGCCAAAGGGAGGAATGATGACCAATGGACCAAAGAAAGCGAAGACCTCAAAAGACCTCGAAGTCCTCACATTCCCGAGTAGACCCTGACTTTCCAAGGAATCGGTGGGTTGGTCAAGACTTGACCAGCGAGCCAACAAGTCAAAGCCCACAGATTCATGTTGACGTTGTGCAAATTCTTCACGACCACTACCAAGTGGTATCAGTAGAGTAGACCACTCAAGCCTCCGCTCATCGCTATGTTCATGCCTTCTACTCCCTGATCTGTAGTTCTTGGCTGCTTTCATGTGCATCTTTCTCTTGACTTTTTGGAAGCTCATTCATGCCCCAGCCATGACAACGCCCAGTGTCTTGTTTTTTCCACACACACCCAATCCGAATCGAGGCCCGCCGGACTCCGTCGAGCCCCCCGCCCTGGCGGAGAGCCATGCGCGGAGCCCATCGGTCCTCCTTCACCAAGTGCTCGATCTCTTGATCGCTGGAGGGCCCCACGTGGACCACCGGCAAGTCCTCCCATCGCCATTGGAATGTCTGAAGTCAGTCCGGAGTGGCCTCTCCGAGGGTTGTATCCAAGATGCCAGACGATGAGAGAAACTCCCAGTCCCAAAAGAAAAGAGAAGAGCATTTAAGGGGATTGACATTTCGAGTCACTAACATGGAAGTGGATGGCACTTGTTGTTTGTACAGGAAAATGGTCGTCCAAGGGATCAAGCCATCCACTTCCATGATTATTTCAGGGAGTGCAATGATCGCTTTTGAGGCGAGAGGGACATGCTTCGGAAGGATGAGTCTGCTGGTAGTGTTCATTTTTTGGGTGATATCAAGTTTTTGTGTTTTTCTTTTTTTCGGTTTGCAAAGGAGTTGAAATGTTGTAATTCCTTGAAACACCATGCAGATCTTCCTCTCTTGGAGAAGCAACCAACTCATTTGACAGGGTCCCACCTCCACGGATCTGACCACACAGCCCGAAACCAAGGGCCCTGTCGGGCCTTGTCCATCTTGGGATCGGCCGTCCAACGGCCTGCAGTTTTGATAGCTCACTGTATGGCAAATAGGAACCCAGAAACCCTAAGGGGTTGAAAGTACCTGAAGCAAAAAGCTCCCCATATCGGTCGGATTCAACAAGCCTCTGTTCATCTTCTCAGTCTTCTGAACAGAACTGATTTACAAGTGGAAACGGCATGGCCTACGGATGCTGAACCAGCTATCACTTGAGTGTGGCCATGTGTGGCCTACATACCGGCGACTTCATGGGAAGGTGTGCAGCTTTTCACATGTGTGCGTATGCCTTGGAGTCACAGGGGCCCTTTTGGATTAGAGATTTCTTTACGTTTTTATTGCTTTAGCAGGGGCCGCCGCGCCCGCTGCGCAAGAGAGAGCGGAACCCGTCGGTCGGAGTGGGGAACCGGCAAGTCATTTGCTTGAGCGAGCTTGACCGAACGAGTCAAAGGGCAGTCACTGCCTGTGGCTTACCAAAAAGTGATTCTGCATTGACCATTTACAGCCTGGATTTAGGGAAGCACTCAACTTGTTTTTTACAGCAGGGGGCACGGAGACTGATTTCATATCCGTGCCAACTACGTAAATCAGTCGGAGGAGAGTTGGGACGCCAACTCTTGTACCTGCGCTAGTTTGGACTTTTAATGCAATCCGCAGTCACGCACGACCGCCGTCACTCGTTTCGTCGATTCGGGCTCTTGAGCTTTTGGCCTCCTCTTCGTTTGAAGACCTCCAGGATTCACAGGTTTCGGTGTTCCTCTCAGGAATCTGGTCCCTTAGGTTGCCGTGTGGCGAGTGGCATTCACATCCGTACGCAATTCAATAAGTGTGCCTCTCCTCCTGAGAGCCCAGGGTGAGCCCGCAGAGTGCCCCCTGTGGACCCGTCGAACGGGGGGTTTGTCTTTATCTCCCCTGCCCGGAGCGGACAGCAGGAGGCTTATGCCAAAGTTAAGTTGCCAAGACCCGACGGATTATCTTGAAGCTGACTTAGCCGCCGCCAGGGCCAAAAGGAAACCCGGTGCGGTTCCCGCAGACCTCCAAAAGAAACAGGACTGCCCTCGGACTGCCCAAAAAGGGGCCAAAGAAGACCTCCCAGGGTGTGCCTTCCAGTAGCGAGACCTCGCGTTCTGCACCGCCCGACCGGTGCTTCAGTTCCGTTCAAAACCGGTCCACCCAGCGGTCTGGGGCCGGGGATGGTCTCCCCGAGTTCAAAGACCAACCAACAAGACCAGCAACTCACTGCCAATGCAGCTGCAGTGGCTCAGAATCATCTCCATGACACTGGAGACCCTGGAGGTCTTTCCAGTGTTCGCCTGACGTGCGAATTCGCGCGCGCTTTCGAAGCAAATCATCGGAGTGGCATTCTTTGTGTAGACTCTTGATTTAAAAAGACATCATTGAGATTGTAAAACTCTTCTAGTTGGAGGGTTTATTAAGCAAGTCCTTTTTTTTAATATGATCCTTTAGATTTTGCCTTCACGATTAAAATACTCACATACAACCCTGGTACTTGAGCTATGTACTGGTCTTCGGGTGTCTTTGCTACTTTTACACCCTTCAGGCCTACATGAGCTTCAAATATGGCCTCTTGACTTGCAAAGTTCGCCCACCTTCTCCTGTTGGAGGGAACTTTGGATCTTACACCTTCAGAATCTATAGATGGCACCGCTGGTTTCGGCGTTCTCTCTTCTGACTCGGCTCCTGTCCACCATGTCAGATCTCTCTTCAAAGCTCCCAAAAAAACTCCCGACTCGATCGTGGGGGCTGTCTTCGCGATTCGCATGGGGGGTTTTCGCACAGAGGACCACCTATGCCGGCAATCAGCTTATGTCTAGGTCTAGGACCACTGAATCCAGGATCTGGGCGTCTCCTGAATTTTCCATCTGAGCAGTTCTGAGGATTTGGATGCCGAGGCCGAGCACCGAGAGCCCATTCCTGTTTCAGGATGTCTTCCCTGTGTGGCTGTGGTTAAAAGGCCTAGGATTTCCTGAAGGGTCCTTCCCGCTCACTTCTTTCCCATCACCCAACAAAAGTCATCAGAAAGGCCTGATCTATCACAACATGGAACTCGGATTCTGAATTGACTGCACTCCTAAGAGAAGAACTCCTCTTCTAACGCACGTTAGAACCCCTTTGCGTCGCACCAGCAAGGTGGACTCGCCATGCCCTGGCGGGTCCAGTAGGGTGGTGGAGGGACTGGCTCAGCAAGAGGACGTGGGCAAAGCGCCCCAGTGAACTCTGGGTTCGGGTTTCCAACAACAGGGTCTTCTCGTGTTTGGCGGGGTCAAACGCAGTAGAACATGGGGCTGTCTTCCTGTCTGAATATGGAGGCCACTCAAACCATGGGTGTGTGTGTGTGTGTGTGTC